CTGAACGTCTCGAAGACGTACGAATCGACGTACAAAAATCACGTCTTCAACCCGCCGAAGTTGTTACGGGGGGTTAGTTGGCATCCGGTGCTCGGGTTGAATTTCTCATCGACACTCGAATTTCTTTCCTTCGTTTATCCGATCTACTTCATATCGTACGTTTAACTTTTCATGTGTAGATAGTTGAGGTATGTAACAATAAGTGATACGTAGGTACGTTTGTAAGGATATCAGAGATACAATAAATCAATGGAAAATTTGATTTTTTATAAATAAATAATACTTATTCTATGTTGCTTTCTTTCTTTCTTTCACTGTAGAGAGGTTTAAACCTGGAAGAAAAGACGGAAAATATTCTCGAACGCGTGCTGGCAATTTTTCTCTCATTTGTCGCGTAAGTACGTCTTTTCTTCTCGAAGAAGTGACGAAGTATCGTTCTGTTCGACGATTCGAACGTATTTTAAGACGTTCAAAAGACGTCTGCGTGCTACCTGGGTACATGTATTACAGCATACCGATGCATACACGCGTTTACAGAGAGTACCGAATGATTCGATAACAATCGATGCTTGAGATATATCATTTCACCACGTCTGAGGATCCAAGTATCGGCGATACACGGGAATGAGATACGGTTCTTGTGGCGTCGTCGCGATATGCAAACTTGTATTGTACATGAAAGAAGGAAAAAGAGATTTTCTATTTAAAAAACGATGTATCGACACACTGTGTATAGTACGTTACTATTATTATAGGGATAACGTCGCGAGCTCTCCTCGATGAATATCGCTTTCGTGATAAAAACCTGCGAAACGCGTCGGGTGACGGTAAATCACAATTCGTAGTACACTTGATAACGTATCGTTAATTAAAATAGGAGAATACGAGCTGTGTTTCGTACAGTGAAATACGATGCATCGTAGAGGGAAGTTGAAAACCGATATCGAAGATAGAAAATTTAAAAGCGACAATTGTTGTTGAATCAAGCCGTACACGATACACTCTCGACAGCTATGAATTGCGTGCTGCATTTTTGTATGGGGTGCGATTTCAAGCCAGAAGAAGATATATAAAAGAAATACAAAGAAAATGTTGATAAGAAGAAGCAGTTTAGGAAAACGTTTCTGTCACGTGACCAGGCTGGTCCGGCCACGACTGTTAATCTATCTAAATGAAATATACACATTGTATAGGTGCATATATATGTCACACGTATGTATACACGTATATGCGTGTATATAGATGTCTTTTTCATAAGTGTGAATTTTATGATACACATACATATATTACATATATGTATTAACTAACGTACATACGTATGTATGCATACACATACATACATGTATTAGAATGTGAATCGTTTTCACAACATTCTCATCGACAGCTTCTTTTCGTGCATTGTTAATAAATTAGGTCACTACGGCTGCTGATTATTGATCACGTGTACAAGTCACTGCTAAATTATGAAATAATTTGTCGAGTGTTCGCCGAATAGTAGTAACGTAACCAGCTGGAAGAAGTGACTTCAAAGTGTAGTGTCCAAAAGTGATCGTACCTATGAAAGCTTTTTGCTTCCTGTTAAATGGAATACTCTTTTATTTGATAATTTGTAAAATTATCGTTACCACTGAGATTTGTACAAAGATCGTGAATTTTTCGTTTCATTTCCTTATCACTCTGTAGAATTACCTAAGTACATTTACCGTTTCGTATTGATTTCTCTTTGTAACGATTTAATACGATGATATATACAATTAATAAATCATTCATTATTCTATGGGCTGTTGATTCATGGAGAGACGTAATGATGATCGTTCGTTCGTTGTTTATTTTATAACATTTTTCGAGGAAACGATGAATGTCGTGTGCCGATGAAAATTTTAACGATTTATCGAATGAAAGATTAATTAAATCATATGAAAATCTGTTTCTCTTAGTTTGAGGATTTTGAAGGGAAGAATTGTGATTTTAATTATGATTTCTTGGCTTCTGTCGATTAAAACAGTATATCAATGTTGCCTTTTCTTTCGTCCCTTGCATAATTGGTTATTTTATAAAATGTATATTTGAAACTAAATTTCATTCTAATAACTATTTAGTGCAACGTGTATTAAGTTGTTTGTAAGATAGTCAGTTCCCATAATTCACATTGAAATTTCTGCATCTCGATGAATTACAAATCTGTTTTTATTAAAACTTAAGTTAATCATACTAAATTGATCTAATTTTTATTCATATACTTTTCAGTACATATATAACAATTACGTGCCAAAGCAAACAAGTTCAAAAACGATAAATCACACTTTCCACAAATAATCATTTAAAACAGTAAACACATGTAAAATTTACCTGTAAGTGTCTCCACTCGTTATTTTCTTGTCATATACTTTTAACACTGTATATTGTGAATAAAACAACACACACCTGAAATTCTAACCAGCGTCAAATTTATTAGAAATTCGTAACGAGCCTGTCGTTCGAATTTTATTTATTAATTTCTGTAGTTCGGTAAAGAAAAAAAAAAGACACCTTTCAAAACTACACGTAATGATTTTCAATAGAAGATAAATTTTTTCTAGGTGCAACGTGTTCTGGTTACGTCACCACTTAACACTGTAGCATTCTTACATAAGTGTTAACATTGCATTTGGTAATAAATACATTTGAAGGAATTATAGATCATAACAGTCTCGCAAGGACATGTCAATCTCTGAGAACCTAAATTGTAATTAAGCACAATGGTTCTATCTTGTGCCATAGATGTAGCATGTAATCAATAAATTTGCCAATTTTTTCTCAAAGAAAAAAATCATCTTCACCTTGTACTTAAGTTTTTGGAATACAAGCAAGTGAATTTATAATACAAGCATATTTTTTATTTCAAACGGAAATATTTTCCCTTCCCATGATTGTTTATTTTATTTGAAAAAAAAAAAAAAAAATACCTACGCATGGTCAGATTACGCTATCGGCCAAAACTTCGGGATCACTTGCAAAATTTTGCACCGATATTGAATCTTCTGCTAATTTTTTATAGCTTTGAAATTGACATTGTGGAGATCAATAGCAATTTGTTAATTAACCAAAATATTCTCAAAGTTGTGAACTTTTCTCTGGAAAATTTTGTGTAACTTGCAATGCACTTTTAGCCGATAGTGTACGTTCGAAGAAATCGAACATACGTCTCTGCGTTTCATTTATGACTTCCAAAAACTTAACGTCACAATTACCGATAAACCTAGAGTAAAATATATTTCTAACCATTTTTTAATTCGTATCCACCGTTATCATCTATTGAGTATTTACAGCGGTGTTACTGCGACCCCTTAGTTCCTGTAATTATTAAGTTTTCTATCGGACAATTGCCATCTTTTCAAGTGTATATAATACACTGTATACATACATAATATGGATTCGTAATGATTTGTACATTATCGATTCCTTACTTATCGATTGAAGAGAACAAAGTTCAGCGAGAGTTGAAAAAAACGGTCGGCAAAAAAATGTATGAATTATATTAAGAATATTAACGCTAATGGTAAAAGGATACGTTTAGAAAACTTTCTTCGTAGGATATAAAGGGAAATCATTGTTTACGATCAGCAGAAGAAAATAAATCGCCAAGGTGAACCGAACGCCATACAAGTGTAATAGTTATCATCATGTTCACGGTGACATTATATGTCGAGGTGTGTTTGTAAAAAGTAAGAAAGACGAAAGGAATACACGCGTCGATAAACGAACAAATTCTTTTATTAATATGCGCCGGTACGTTGTAGCATGAATTTCGTTGCATTTAAGTGCCGTATAGGTAAATTTAATAAAGGAAGAAGACAAAAAGAAAAAAAGAAGGAACGAGCGAAGGAGATTGTACAAGTAGCGAGTAACATTATATAGAATTCTCTTTGGCGTTATTGTGTAAACTTCCGAGTAGTCTTCGTTCTCGTTTCTCGAGAGAAATAAAGGTACACGTAATATCCATAAAATGAAAACGCATGCGACCATTTTGAAACTTATATATAATTTATCACTACAGTACTATGTTAATATATCATTGGCATTGTTGAACAAAAGAAATCTACATGTAAATAAACATAAAAGACATTTTTATAAATAAGTTTGATCGTTTTTATATTAACCTCAGCCTTCAAATATTTATCAGATAATAATTTTGCAACGTGAAGTACCAATAAACGAGTCGTTATTTTTTTGTAAATTCATTTCCATGATATTTAAGGACTTACGCTTTAAATAATATTATTTTTGATGCATTAATATTAGAGAACTTGTGCTCACATTCTATTTTTTTTTATTTTACACATTTATTAGACAATTTAATTCCATTAAGTAATTCGCAAGAATATCGATATATACTCTTGATTTCAATATTATTAACAGCAAAAGTGAAACGGTATATATTTTAAACCAGCTTTAACCCACTTCTTTTGAAATGAAACTTATCGTTAATTTCGATATTAATTCGATAATTATTCGAAATTAATGAAACTTATATTTCGTTAATTTATTCATGGGAAAGCCTCTTTAGAATATAGAATAACTGAAAATTACAATGACAATGCGGAAGCAAAACAAAAGAAGAAAAAGTACACCATACTCTTCTTATAAACTAAAAATTTCTCTTTCCAAAAATTCATATACATTTATAAATGATTAAAACAGTATTGTAATTTGTATACGACCTACTATAATCAAACACGTGAAAAAGAAAATATATATATATCCTATTATAAGCACTAATTTGCACATTGTAAGAAATATTTCGTACAATTTTACAATGATAAAATTAATATGCCGGTATAAAATGATTGAGTAATATTATGGAAACTGTACATACAGATTAGTAGCATTACGGTAAAAAATATCAGTAAGTATGCAACGTGTGATGTTTGATACGGAGTGGAAACAATCTTATCAGTGCCACAGTAGAAATATTCCTCTCCGCACAGTCTTGTACAGTATATAAATTGCTTCTCCGCAAGTTCACCTCACGTTCCACAAAATGCCGGTACGTATGTACATGAAAAAACTAGCCACAGAATAAAGCGTGTACACGATACAGAGATTACCTTCGTTTAAAAAAGAGAGAAGACACGATTGTTTCATCGATCGAGTTTCTCGTAGACACGAAATGCATTACTGTTCATAAATATTAGGACAATTACTGAATGTGAATTAAGTCTGAATAGAAATTACAAAATTATGAAGAACCAAAAGAAAATTAGTCATTTTGGAATCTCGTAGCATAAGGAACACATATTTTTAATTACGGTAGTTAGCTACCGCTAAATAAATCGTAACTCCATTCGTGAGTTCTAAAAACAAAGGCAATAGTTAAATTTTGCTTTTCTTCGTTGCACTTTCTTCGCCAATTTTTGAAAATTGACATTTTCTGGATAAGTGTATTAGAAATTGTATTTTTCTAAAAGTGAACAATTTCGGCAGTATTTGACAGATCCGAACTCGATCGAACATTTGTTGAAGGATGAATTAAAAATGAAGTTAAATAAATATTCCATTGCAAAGATAGGAAACTAGTTCGAGTTCCGATTCAATGTTATATAGATGCAGAGTATATTGAAATTTTAAATATTAATTGTTCTGGTATAATTTTGTTGACGACGAAATATATGTTTATTTTATTTAGTTTTTTATATTTTTATTTTTACAAATAACTCTTATTAAGTGAGTAATTATTTATTAAAATGACTTTTAATTACAACAATCTTCGATTCACGAGAAATCTGTTTGATTTCACTTTTTAAACGTTGAAGATTTCTGTACCATGTGTACGCTCAATTTTGTGACGATACATGCAGTAGGTACTTGTATCGATTATATTTTCAAAAATGTTAACAAGTACATACATATGTAATTGATGTTAATTTGACTGTAACATTTGTAAATGAAAAATAATTAGCAGAATTTTTAAAATGTACATCACGTTGAGATGTTAATATAAACAAAGTGAACTTCTATTATTATTCGAGGAATTATTGATACATCAGATTCTAGTAGAAAATCTTTATTTGAAAAATTATTAAACACTTAACACACTTAAAATTAAACACTTAACACAGTATTTCAATATGAAATTTCTTATCGTATTATATGAGTATATAGAGTTACAGTAAACATTGCGTAACAAAATTTGAATCAAACTTTACGATAAGTAATGATAAATCAGACAAAAAAAGTTACAGTCACGTTAAAGTTAAAAGTTCAATTTATATATGAATTTACAAAAATATCGTAACAATATACGAACGAAACATGATACATTTGTTTATTGACTCTTAATTACAGAAAGTTTCGTTTACGTTTAAAGGGATCATCGCCCCGGTACTTACGCCATTTAACAATGATAGGTAATTTTTCTACGTATATTTAACGTGTCACGTTAATACGAAAAAAAGGGTAAAACAAATACCATTAGTAGCAAAGAAGATTAATCAATTTTCCATAATTAGATGCAGCAAATATTTAAATATTTAATACTTTCAAAAGTATTTAAATAACGAAAATATAAAACTAATACTATTGTACGTATTTTATAATAATATATCGTAATTTATAGATATAAATGTGAAACTGATGTGTGATAAAAATGGACAGATAGCGTCAAAGTGCTTTACAAAAGCAACTCAGATAATAAAATTCTTCCTTATTTATTTACAATTCCCCTCAAATCAAAGTTACCAATTTTCGTAAATGTTTTTTGCAGAGAAATATAGCAAAATTCGCTTTAACTGTGTTTATCATTAACAAAGCGAAAGTATACCTTATAATACATGGAATTCTTTAATTATGAATAGTCGATTAATGTCATGTAACAAATTCAATTATCACATGTCAGTTGAAAAAAAATTGTAATATTACCCTCTGTTCACTTTAGCACGAGAACTTTAAATTTGCCACTTATATCGCAGTATGCAAAGTTTTTATCGCAGAAGAAAGTTACCGGTGTTCTTGGTAAGTAAAGATTTACTTTCAGATTTTATTTACTACATTAAATAATTTCATTTTTAAAGCTAATACTATCAAAAATTAAGCACTATTAATTTCTACACGGTATTCAAATTTTTATGGGTTTATAATGTGTATTTAGTTAATATTATACTCAAAATGTATTCCACAAGGAATATTAATTTTATATTTGTTCAATCTAACGAAAACAACACAGTTGTTGTTCACTATTAGTTTCAAAATTGTTTTCCTATTTATTGACTCGACTTTTTTTTTTATTTATTAACCTTCATTTTTTATCATTATTTCAAGGTAAAACTTTTATATACAATTTTATCAAAGCTTTTCTATGTTTGGAATGTATTTGCTTTTTCTGTTAAATTATACCCACATAGTTTATTAAGAAATAATGAAATATTTTTTACACTGATTAAATATTTGTTAAAATGTTAAATTTTTCAAGGTATACAAGTTATCGTAACCTTTTTCAAACGTAATTGAATTTTTTACAAAACTCTATTTCATCAACAAACGCGTATTGTACTCGAATGCTATGATTTTCGATATTAACAGTGATAAGATTCTTTACTAACTATAAAAAGTACATAATAAACCATGTCAATAAAAACGGAATAATTTTTAATTAACAGTAAATGGAACAAGTGGAGAAGGTCCATCAATGTCTGCCAATGAAAGAAAATTAGTCGCCGAGGCTTGGGCAGACGCTGTAAAAACAACAAAACAGCACTTAATGATACAAGTTGGCGGTGCACCACTTCCTGATGTTCTCGATCTTGTACGTGCATAGTATCACAATTGAACAATACTCTGTGCACAAAATTTCAATGAATATTAACAAGCACGTATAAGTTTGAAAAAAAAAAAAAAAATGTGAAATATGAATTAATAATACTGGGTGGCGTAAAAGTCCCTAATATTTTTGTTCTTTCGTAACTCGAAGGGTAAAACAGGGAGAGAAAGATACTAAAATGCGAAGCAGAAGTTTTATGCATTGCAGAAAATTATGTCACTTAAATGACCGCCTTCTTCTTGATGGAATAAATAAATACTTTTTTCCACATTTTCCATAACTTTCCGCAAAGTTTCGCAAATTTATTTTTAAGTGTATCAGAGACTTTTCTCTTTTTTGATTAAACTAAATTTTCACATCTGTTCAATTCATTTTTATTTTTATTAACATTCTATTCGTTTAAAGGCAAGACATGCAGAAAGCATTAAAGCAGATTCTATCCTTTGTCTGCCGGAATTATACTTCAAGCCAACAACAGTGGAACAATTGACGGAATATTTAAAAGTAGTCAGTTCTGCAGCTCCAAACACGCCACTTTTATATTACCATATTCCATCGAAGACTAACGTTAATTGTAAGTTAACTATTATCATTACTTTAAATTCGTATTAACATATAACAGAATGATAGCATAAAAGTAATGACTCTATGATAGTTTACTTATACAACTGAACTTGATTGATAACTTTGAACACTCTTTTCCAAATTTTTCGAGAGTTGCTCAAAATACAAATGTACTATATTTAATTTCCAAAATTACTTTTCTAACTAAATTCTGATGAATTAATACTATTTATAAATTAACCCTTTCAACGCGCTTCCATCTTAATTCAAGCCTCAATTTTATCCGTTGAGCACTTCCGTCTTAACAATCTGGGTCTTTGATGACCCAAGCGAAATTTCACTCTTGTATTTCTTCGAAAAGAATTTCTGTTTTTATTGAAAACAGTTTGAAACATTTGACTTAATGAACAATTGTACAATGCAGTAGAAACGTTAATAAGTATCTCAGAATTTTTTCAGAGTTTCCAAAAGTTTAGGAAATAGTAGGTAAAGAAATTTTTTTAAATATTTACCTACGGAGGGTTAGTTTAATAAAATAAATTTTAAAGCGGTATAGTTAAAACAACAAATTTTACAATCTGCCGCAGCGAAAGGGTTAATAATATAATTTCTTTATTTAAATACTTACTCAACCTAGACAGTAAGAACATTACAAAAGCAACAATAATACCAATTATCATTACACCAAATGAAACATATTTGGAGACTTATTATTGTTTCTTTCAGTACACATGGGAGAGTTCCTTGAATACATCGGTGAGCAAGTTCCAACTTTCGTCGGGATAAAATTCACGAGTTCCAATTTGGAAGAAGGTGCTTTAGCATTGCGTGCCAGTAAAAACAAATTTACGGTGTTCCTTGGAAATGATCAGGTACTTCTTCAACTATTTATTTCCTTGAAATTATCACACTCGTTAAATTACTTAAAACAACGCGTGTGTATGTGAATAAGATATTGTATTACATGCATTAAACGAAATGGTTAAGGGAAATAGAAAGGAAAAGAAAGAAGAGAAATAACATATTTTGTGTTTTATATTTTTATATTTTGTACGTAAGGTAATATACAGGGTAGTGTAAACAAAATCGTTTTCATGGCTGTGAGGCTGAAAGTAAGTAAATTCTCTCTGTTACATGCATTACACAAAATACTTAAAACAAAAATTTTTAACGCAAAAAGTAATATTTAGGTATCCATGAAATTCTGAAAATGCAAATATTACTGTAAGACTGATTAAACGTGAATAACTTTGTTATAGTTATACTATTAACTACTTTGTTGCTTTCAGTTAATAAGTGCTGGCTGCAGATTGGGAATGGATTCATTTATAACGACAGGTGTAAACATGCTTGCTGAACTGACACTGGACACTCTTAAAGAAGGGCAAACAGGAGATAACGCGACAGCAAGAGAGAAACAGGATATGTTGACGAGTAGTGTAGTCGCTATATCGAAACATGGTAAAATTAATTGAATATTAATTCTTTCATGTTATAATATTATCATACATACTGCGGTCGTTTTATCGATACACGATAAAACTAATGCAATACTTATCCTTTCATGTTACAATCTTAAATTTTTTTGCGATACATTATTGAAACATATGGTACAAACACATTTCTCATACACTCACATGAATCTCGTAAAATCTCATTTTATTAAATTTCACTTCATACTGTTTGATTAACATGATTTCACACATTTGATTTATTACAGTTTTTTAGTTACTATTTCCTACTTGCATTAATAATTTATATACATAATTCATTATTTGCATTAATAATAAATGAGGAATGGATATACTCAACTTTGCTACAATTAAACTTAATTAGCACATTGCTTTTACTTTACTATCATACACATGATGTTGTTTGATGGATAAAAAATACTGAACAGTCGATTCTGATGAGTTCAAGCAGAAATGTCCTGCAACATTTTGTTCACAGCTCGATAATTGTTGTTAATGAAAGTTGCTAATTTTATTATATATATTTGTGTGTTTTAAAAATATATACATATATCTTGTGTATATTTTTAAATAAAGTACAAAGTCTATATGTTAAATTAACACGTTCGCTGTCACCCGAAAATAGAAAAGGGATTTCCCGTGCGCCACCGATTCGTAGCTAAAATCAACCATACACACATACACACACGCACCCGCCGCCTTTGCGTTCACGGAGAATTTATGGTGGTTTAGTTGCCTATCACACAGCGCTGGCATCGACTTTTGATGTGACCAATTGACACACATTGTCGACACTGGCACACCGGACAATACATTCCGAACTGCATATGCTGCGCCAGTGACAGTGAACGTATTACACTCATTTACATAAATAAGTAAAAAAGAAAAGAAAAACGCTCAACTGCATAATTTGATTTGAAAACGGAAAACAAAGATTGGAATGTTATTATTACATTACAGGTGACTGGGTAGAGACTATGAAAGTGGCAATGACTTTATTAACAAATATCAATCCTGGACCTCCACGTACACCTCTAAAACCTCTGTCTGCACAAACTACAGTATCAATGGCAACAGAGTTACAATATTTGGCAAAAAAATTTAATGTATTTAGAAAAGAAAAAGGAAACTAGTGTTTTAAATAAGATTATAGGCAGCTGGATTTAAGATACCTCATAAAACAGTTTTAATAACAAAATTCCTTTTAAATTTATTTAGTTTGAAATATTTAAACAATTTCAGTTTAATATTTGAATATTTGTAACTTTTTTCTTAATAAAAAAATTATATACATATGCATATACTACTTACTCTGTAACTTTAATTTAATTCATCATACTTTAATTATACATGCTCTATTCCAGTGATCAATATTTATACAATAACCAATATTTAAACAATATATTCATAATGAAACATATATTGATAATGAAAATATGATTGCAAAAATTTTGATACATTTCATTATAAACATACATGTACACAATAATTATTTATGTCGTGAGCAGCTTAAAATGTGAAAAATTTAATTTGTTTTGTAGTCTAATATTAGTTATAGTATAAATGTGTACAAAAAATATTAGCAATTATTAATTAACTTAATTTAATTATTAATAAATAGAAGATAAAACTTAGAAAACATATATTCAAATACAACCAATACTATGTATATGCTAAAAAAACGAGTGGTTATCATAGTAACTTATTAATATGATTCTTAATATATTCTATCTGATTTCGAATAAACATGCTAATTACGTTTGACTTTTAATTCTTCAAAATAGTATAATGAATTACTTCGATTAGAAAATTAATATACATTTTACAAATAACATCTGCATTTAAATAATATAAAAACTATAATTGATTTCGAAACAAATAACTTTTTATTTTCAACAATTTTTAACTTCCGCTTATAAAGAAAATTACTGGTTGCTATATATTTATTTTATTAAGATACGAATATTCTTTAATATCAAATGCTTTCTTATCGTGATATTTTGAAAACTATCTTTCGATTAGTTTATACATTCCATACTCAATTAATAATTAAATAAGAGCAGATATTCTAAAACATACTTGCTTGCTCAAAATCAAATAATTAATTACTGTATTAACAATTAAGTTATTGAATAAGCCACCGTTCAATTATTAGACACATGTGTATTTCATACATACTACTTGTATGTATAGTTGATATTTACGTAAGAAAATGGCAGCCGTGAGTTTTGAATGTGCAGATTTTTTAGAATTCCAGGTACTTTTATTATAAATGAAAGCACTATGAAATATGTTACATTTAAAACTGTAACTTTTAATTGTTTAATTGATATCCAATGCATGTTAAATCCTAAACGTCTGTAATGTAATATATCGCAAGTATAATTGAGGTTATATAGTAGCTCACGTTAAATATGATGCATTACATTATAATTAAAATGTAAAATGTTTTATACGATTGATAGACAAATAGGTAGATATTTTAATACAATAATTTAATATAATATCACAATCTTCAAAATTTTAATCTAGGTTAGAATTTAGGCTAGGCTAGAATCTAGATTATTAATTTAATTATTGAATGATCTAAACTGAATCTCTAAAATTAGTTATCTCGTGGTATTGTTTTTCTGTGCCTTTTCTTCATTTATTTGTTTTTTTATTTATTTTGTATAACAATTCTATTTTTGTTTCAGAGTGCATTACAAAAAATGCGGCAAATTGACGACAAGATTATTTATATGCTAAATGCCACAATTCCAACAGAGTCTTTTAAAAGTCAAATTGATGCTACAGCTCAATGTAAATATTTATTTGAACAAATTGAATCAGGACATAAGAAAAGAGAACTGGCTATCACAAGATGCTTAAATGCATCAAAGGAAAAAGTAAAGCAATATAAAATTCAACGAGATAATGGTGATGATAGTCCACAGCTTCTTAAAGCATTAAGAAAAGAGCAAAGTAGTTTACGCTTATTACAATCAGAATTAAGTGTAGAGGAGGTTGTAAAAAAACGTACAATTGATGTATATCATGCAAGATGTCGTACTTATTATAAACCATCAAAGAAAGTGTAAACATAATATTGTTGTTACTAAATTTATAAATACTTTGAAAATATCAATTTTTTATATGATTTCAAGTTTAGTTAAAAATGTATCATTATGCTAGTTATAAATATATTTAGCTATTGCATTTATACAATAATAAACATAAGCAATTTGCAATTGTGAAAATTATATTTATAATTTTTATTCTTTTTTTATAACTGCCTGAAGTTTTTTATGCAGTAAGAAAATGTATGAGCAACAGAAATAATAGAAAAACCTTCAAGTATCATGTTTAATATATTATACATTTAATTATACATTTATATACAGTAACAAGTTATTCCTGTATGAAAATTAATTTAAATTACACTTTTTATAAAAATATATTTTAGAACGTTGAAACAATACATAATGTATATATATATCTAAAGCAATAATTTGCAAATATTATTTTACGACGCATCATTCTATGATGCACCGAAAATTATTGCTTGTTTATAATATCATTCAAGTATTACATTTCATGCTAAAACCATCAAAAGAATACTGCAAATGTTATGAATATTATACTAAACAATTATTTTGTCATCATAAAAACATGATTTCATTCTTTTCCAGCATTTAAAGCTTCTTGCTTTTCTCTATTAGCTTTTTCTTTTATTTCATTGTACCATTTTGTTCTTTCTGTATATATATTTTTTCCACTTGCAACATCCCGTTTTCCAATCTGTGCAGAAATAAGTAAGCCAAGTATTGAAAAAATCATCATAATAAAGCAAACACGAATTCTTGCTTTAGTATGTGCTTGCTGTATAACTTCTATTCTGTTAATAAAAATATACAATATATAATATACGTAAATGTAATATATACAGTAAGTAAAATAATTTTTCATATTGTATTGGGAAACTATTTTATAGGTTATTAAACTTAATACTATTATTGTAATTATTATAAACATAAACATTTCCTATTATATTTACTTACGGTAGTTGTGATGGAACTTGATCTATGCTAGGGTAACGTTTAACCCAAACTAATATTCTTTTATTAAAATTGCTCACATTATATGAAGGTGTTCCTAAAGTACATAAAATAGAATTTCTTTTGTGCATTTCACTTAAAATTTAATAAAAGAATGTGCTTCAGGTACAGGTTTATTTTCATTTTTAACAAAAGTAGAATGTACTTGTCTTATGCTTAGTAATTTAAGTTGCCTAGTCAACCTTGCAGACAACATTCTACAAACATTTAAAATCTTTAATTATGACAGTTACATTTAACCTGATAATTAGCATTAATTAACAGTAGAATTTACATTATTATAAAGAATCTATATATGACATAGTAAATATAATATAATAATTTATAAAGTTTAATAGCATCTTTAACTAATGTTATTAATATGATAGCTCTTGTGTATATAAACACCTAAGTTTATAAATTCATCTTTGTAGTTTATACCATTTTCTTTATTTATATCTCTAGTTTATAAAATTATGACATAATAATTCAAGTTCTTTAAAATGTATATAAATGCACTAATTAGGCTTTTCTATAATATTCAAATATTAATGGGAAGTATTATACAAACATTAATATAATGTAGCATCTATATTTTAATTTTGTGTGAATATATTTTAAAAGTCTTACATATATCACAATGTAAAATATGTAATAAATAATATTGTGAAATTTAATGATTTACATACAATTAATTTATTTATAATTTATTAAGTGCATTAATGACTTATTAATATCACATTAAACAACTATATATATATGATATAGTGTAGAACGTTTAACTACTTCCTATCACGCGGTTTCTTTAGATTACATATCTATGAATAAACTGTATTTATAACAGAATCACTATATTTCAAAAGTAACATAATGACCTTGACCAATTTTAATCGAATATTTCTTTTATAGCTTTTATTATCTTTTCAAGAATATATCCGGTTTTAATTTCACAATTATGTACACTAACTTATCTATTTGTTATTTTTTACATATTATAGTTCAAAGAGAGTGATTACTTACATTCAATGATTTATGTTGATCGACGTCTGACAAGCCCGTTCTGTTTTCCACTTGCTACTGACTACTGACGCAAAACTGTTGCAACGTATATATATATATTAAATGACCAACACTAGCGCCAATTTTTATGAACAGTGTACAATCCATTTATCCACCTTGACTTCTTTACCATATATTTTCCACTTAAAGTATATAATTTTTGTTTATAAATTATTAACTAATATTGACAAAAATATATTTCAAACTTTTATCCATTACTTTCATAAAAAAATATAAATTCTGAAACAAAGCGAAAGAAGAAAGTCGATAATAAGTTTTTTTATTTTACATAGAGGAAATATATTACCTAAAAGTTTTTTTTAAAATCAATATTGTGTAAAAATAATAAAGTACAAACGAAATGATAAAATA